GGCTCCTTGAATTTCAAACTGTACTTGGAAGGCTTGGATGTTGTGATCACAGGCCTCACTCCGAATCCACGGGGGTCCCAGCCCCAGCTGCACACGAATCATTGCTGGCGCTTTGTCCGCAGAATGGAGCCTTGTCTTGAACTTGGTTTTTTTCTTGGGCAGCCCTTTTGCTGTTAAATGCTGGGTAAATTCACTGTCATGTTTCTGGATGCTAAGCTTAAAATCATTTCTGTGTTTACACAACAATATTTTTCAGGTATGGTACCACCGGGCATTTTGACACTGTTGACTTCTATGTTTTGTTTGGCAGCCACAGTGCAAACATCTATTATGAGATGTTTGCACAATGGGACACCACTGGATTAACCGTGGGTTAGAAGATAGGTCCCTTCAAAGGCTGTTTGCAGACTTGTCATTTTGGAGCCATGTATGACCCCTTTTGGGAAAAGAAGTGGGCATGATTTCATGTCAGTACTTGCAAGCTGGATTCTTATAAAGAATGTCTTGGACACAATCTCACGCACTAAAAAATATGTGGTGTTTGGGAAAGTTGTTTTGGGAATTTTTGGTTAGATGCCACCATAAATATATACATACACTATCATACACTTATAAACATGTAAAAAAAAAGAAAACATATTTTCCAAATTTAAAGATATTTATTTATGTAAACACTAGTAACTGCACATGTACTTTTTACATAGATTGCATTTGTCTGCAAAAGAAGAACTTTGATACTTTTGGGAATGTGGCTACTTCAGAGGTTCCTGTTGACAAACCGTACATTATTATTCATGTATGTGTTTATCTCCCAGCCCATTGACATTCAGTCAATGCTGTTGCCCCAGGACCTGCCGACCAATGACCATGATGGTGAAGTTCAGTGGGTGGTTGCGGAGTTTGGGGAGGTGTGAACTTGTTGAGTTCAAACCCGTTTTTGATGATAAGTTGCCAATTTGTGTGTTTGATTTGTTCTTTGTGTGTTGTTATTCTCCAAGAACATTCTTCAATGATGTTCAATTGTTAAGCTTTGTTCTTGAACATGCCATGCTAGAAAATGTGTTCTAAGTTCACAAGTTGAATCCTGAGCAGGAAGACCACAAGGACCCCATGGATGTGGTGATGCTCTGCAAGGAGTGGGTCCACTCAGCATCGTTGTCACAGCAGCCCTTGGTTATCTTGCCTGAGAGCTACATCAAAGTCTTGGAGAGGGCGCAGCTCACAACACTTGGCCGCAAGGAGTTGAGCAAGAAAGAATGTGAAGAGTTCCTTGGATCATATTTTTTAACCTCAAAATAAAGAAAAATTTCTGGTTTATTAGGATTGACTCAAATTCAATCCAAGGTTCATTCGGACGGCAAAGAATGTGGAAGCTGAGCCGTGGCACTTGAATGTGGCTGCAGCCTACTTGAGATCTTTCGTCGATTCTTCCCCCAAACTTGCACACTTTTATTTTTGTTTGGCTTTCCTGGCGTGTAAGCTTTTAAAGCTCTTTTCCCATGAAAGCACCATTCATTGGAGATTTTGTTGGGCTTGTGGTGCCTCTGGAAAGGACAACAACCAGCAGCAAAATTTCCCAGCAGCTGTGATGCCAGTGTTCTTCTTCAACCATGTGCTGGATGAGAGGATTCCATCCCCAGAGGGGTGACTATGCCAAATTCTGCTATTGTTCCAAGTTTTTGTTTGAAGTTTTAAGGATGTTGTTTTGGGGAATTTTTAGTTATTTCAAATTCCTTTTCAAAGATTTCCCAACCAACAAGCCAAGGTGGCGGAAATTTGCCCCAGGCCCTGTGCGTTTGATTTCGGCAGCTGGGCTCCAGGCTGCACAACGGGTGCAGAATGCAGCAAACCAGAAGCGGCTTCGAGATCGTGCCCGAGCTGTTGCTGCTCCCGTGCGTGGCAATGCTTTGCCTCTTCCTCCTCCAGTGGAAGGGGATAGTGCTGATGTTGGGGATGGGGGTGATGGTGGTGATGAAGGACCAGTGCTTCCAGGAGGCCGTGGCCTGGGATGTACCAAGTGCCGATTTGCAGCTATTGGCTGCAAGCAATGTCAGAACCCACGCTACACTCCTCGTGGGAAGGGTCGTGGCAAGGGGGGTCAGCCTCAGCCCAAAGCTCAGCCCAAGGCTCAGCCAAAGGCTAAGGCCAAAGGTCGTGAGCGTGGTGGCCGTGGACGTGGCAGGGCAAACTCAGCTTCTTGACTTTTTCTTTTATGTAGGGGAACTTGATGATGTGAAAAGCTGGTTTTGGAAATGACCCATGGGCCCATTAACCAATCATGAACCAAAAAGGAAATAACCCATGAACTATTGTGATGTGTTTTGCTTGCACAGATCAGCTTACCAGCCAACACATCTGTCATGTGGGGTAGTTTTGTGAGAAACATCATGTTTCAATGCACCGGGTTCGGTTGTCAAGGGCGAAGCAACCTTTGACTGACCAAAATGGCGAACATCTTAGAGTCTTTGTGGTTTGAAACTGTTTGCTGTGAGCGGGGCTGCTGATTTGAAGGTTTGAGTTTGAAGGTTTCTGCTGGGTTTTCAATTCTGTTTTGTTGAATGCTTGTACAGTGCTGATTCATTGTTCTGGGTTGGGGGCTTGGACTCAACACATCACTTTTACAAACAACAGGCGCTTGGCCCAAAGCCAGTGCAAAAACATGTCAATTTTGCCCCCCGATGATGATGGGCTTGGTTTAGATGATGCCTTTGCGCAACTGCCTCCTCCTTTGACACCTCAGCCACAGTCAAAAGCAAAGGCAAAAGCCAAAAGGACACCGAAACCACGTGCCAAGTCAAACAATGATGGTGTCAAGAAAGCTAGGAAAACCAAAGCGAAGGAACCTGAGATGGATCAAGTTAGTGGAGATGTGCAACCAAGTGGTTCAAGTGGACCTGCAAAAGTGAAATCGGAAGCTGGGCAAGATTACTTCCACCGTGCTACTACAATTCCTGGGCAGTGCTTGGAATGCAGCTAGCCTTACACCAACTTGTTTTAATCTCTTATGGTCATGTTGGGAACTCGATGAATGTTATTCTTTTGGCTGTGCAAGCCATTTGTCTTGCTAGGCCCTCGATCCCATTTGCGGACATCCAGAAGGTCATGGAAAGTCTGGCTTCTGTGAACAATGATCGCCGGTGCCATTTCTGGGAGATCTTCAGCAGGCCTCGCATAGCTCCAGTTTGTCGAGAGCTGGGTATGCGCTCACTTCGCAGCATCGATGTTTCTTGGCCAGCTGCCTGTTTGTATACTTGTTTGTGTTTTCATGGATGAAAAGATTGGGCTTGGTTTACTTAGATTAGATATTCAGCAATGCAGCAAGCAGCCAGTCCTGTTTAAGGTAGACAATTTCTGGGACTTGAGAGACCCAGCGATTCAGCATATGCTCCTCAGCGACCTCACAGTTTTGCAGCCTTTCTTTACAATGCTGAGCCCTCCGTGCACCCACTTGTGCCAATATATGTTTTGCAATTGGGGCAAAATGGATCCACTCACAAAGTATGAGCTCTTGCACCAAGCCATTGGGCACATTGATGTGACTTGTTGGGTTGCGATGGTTCAAGTTGCAGCCAAATCCTACTACTGCATTGAGAATCCGGAGGGATCCCAAGCATGGAATCGCAACAATGCATCTTGACTGCCAAATTTTGTTAAACGTTTTTTTGCCTTCACTTACTATGTGGGTGCTTTATGGTGTCCACCAATGACTTGGGCTTTTTGTGGTGAACACAATTTGAAAGATATCAAGGTCAAACAATTGCCGGGCATGCAGAAGGTGGTCTTTGACCAGTGCCGATATGGTTTGGTGTCCCTTGAATCCAAAAAGTTGATCAAGAAGCCAACGGTGTTTGCCACGAATTGCCCGGCGGCTATCGTCAGGGAGTTCTCTGGCAAACGTTGCACCGGGGATCATGACCATTGTCGACTTGAAGGATCTGAAGGTGGCCAGCGGCGCACCAAAGCAGCTCAGGTTTATCCGGAGCAACTTTGCACGGCAGTTGCCCGGTGTGTCTTGAGTCAGTGGCAAGCTGACAACCCAATCAATAAGTGAATGCGTCCAAATGTCTACGTGGCCAAAATGTGCCAGAGTTGATACTTAACTGATACAGAGCTGGGGACCCCAATTCCTGCAACATTGGAGAAAAAGTGAAATCTTCAGAACTCAACATCTCAAAATCAAACATTGAGATAGGAGGTTTTCAGCTGAAAACTTCGGAACTTACTATTGGAAACCAAAATCTTCAGAACTCAACATCTCAAAATCAAACATTGAGTTCTGAAGATTTTCCCTCCCAATTTGAAGTTAGGAAGTTTTCAGCTGAAAACTTCGGAACTCACCCTTTCAAATTCAGATTTTGAGTTATGCAGATTTTTTTCAAAATCTGCATAAATCTGGGAATTCAGCATTTTAAGCATTTTCAAAGATTTTGGGACAATTTACAAAGAGCAAGAAAAACACATATTTAGGGGGAACTTCTATACATGTAACAACTAGCAACCCGAAATGGTCCGACGGACAGAAAGGTTTTGGGGCATGAGATCGGAAGTTTTCGTCCGAAATCTTCGGAACTCGGGGACCCGAAATACCCCGACGGAAATCTGAAAGTGTCATCACAATTTGAATTTCTCAATTTAGAAAGGTGGGGGTTGAGGTGGCTATTGATTGGTGATGCATATTTTGCAGCATTTTCAGGGTGGCAATTCGTGCTGAGAGCCAGCTTCATCCAACCAGCCTGGCTTTCAGCTCCATGGAATTTGCCATGGAGGAAACGCCATTTGGAGGAATCAATGGTGTGGAAAATGGTTCAATGGCCACGTTAGACTGGAGAGACCATCATTTGACAATATGAATGTTTTCTTCTTTGCTTTCCCAATAATTTTAAGTTAGGATTCCAAATGTTTCCAGGGTTTTCTGGTTTTCCTGCCAAAATTTTGGCCACATGTTTTTTCCTGAGGATCTTGATGAGGCACCTTTTCCAGATGGCGCAAGCACTGTGGCCATGTCAGACCAAGTGCCTCCTTCGGACACATCTACAGCTTTGGACCAATGGGACCTGGTTACACATACCTCTGGAGATGCTCAGGACAAGAATGAGAAGTTGGCAAATGTCGTCTACAACGAGATCAAAGGCCAAAAAAGAATTAGACATAATGTTGATGTCTGTTACATGATTCTCTTGCTTTTCCAAAGTTGTATTTGGCAGTCATGTGATTTAATATGATTTAATGTTGAATGTAGTCCCTGGGAGGTCATGGTGGTCCCAGGCAGTATCTTCAAGCGATGTATCCTAATCAAGCTCTCCGTCATGAGTTCTATGTTTGGGTGGCGTCTGAGATTGGGGTGGATCCGACCATCATGTATGCCGGGAAGTTTCAAGATATTCCAACGGCCAAGCCAAAGGAGGAGGGCAGTGTGGCACCTGCGTGTGTACCACTACAGCTGTTCTCCTTTTCTGATGATGCTGGGTTGACAGGGGCGCCGGAGCTGGAAAAGGCTCGTCTTCTTCTTCACCTTCTGTGCGCCTATGGGTTTGAAACTGTGGATGAATCTGTCAAAGTTCGCTTTCCAGCACCTTGTCTCAAGTGCTGATTTGGGTTGTCCATGGTTGTCTATTTCCAAGAATTAAAAACAAACATATTTTGTGCACATTGATGAACATGAATAAAATCAAGTGGGGGTGATCACATTCAAAAAAAGTTGACAATGATATTCCAAAAGAAACAAATTGATACACATAAAACATAATTATTTTCTATTTATGAAGAATGTGTTGGCCTGATTGTATTTATATATATATATATTTATTTATTTGATATTAAAAAAAAATCCAGGCCAAGTTATTTGATATATACAAGCAAATACATGAAATAGAGACATGTCAAAAACCAATCAACAAAAAAGGTACTGAATGGTACTGCTTCTTTTGGAGATGTGCAGGCACAGTGGAAGCCTGAAGATGACATCGCTGAAGGGCAACTGCTTTTTCTCAAAGGGCAACTGCGGATCTTGACAGTTTTATCTTTGCTGGCTGTGGTCCACCGACGCAAAGCTACGTTGAGTGAAGCTACTTGTCAAAACATGTCAAAGTCAAGTTGTAAGGGGGGAAGGTTGCCATATATGTGTTCCCATGTCAAAACAAGATTCCTTTTGCAGTGTACTTATCGACATGTATGTTCTTGATGTGGTGCCAGCTAACCCTGGGGCCAAGGTGCATCCGACTTTGCAGCAAACCTTGCAAAAGGTTCGGTGTGTCCATGTCGAGCTCACCAATCGCAAGGAGGAGTTGTTTCTGGGCTGATTTTACAAGTTCCTTGTGGTGTTTTGGGTGTGGGAGCCTTTATATGTTGTTTTTGAAGTCCAGCCATTGGGGATGTTATCTGAGGTTTTACAACTTCAAGGTGGCTGTGAAGGGGAACATCCGCACAGCTGTGACTTGGGTAAATAGCCTGCTGGAGCTTTCGAAAGCAGGGGACCGAGATTTGCAAGGGACCCTGAACTCATGGAATACCCAGGCTCCCAAACCTGACAAGGTTCAAGGTCAGAAGTATCTTACTGTCAAGAACCTCTTGGACCTTCCTCCAGAGTGCCGCAACGTGATGTTTGCTTACATCAACAAGAACGGATGGGATAGTTCCTTGTTTTACATTTCAGTTCCCACATGCACATGTGGATACAAAGGCCTGGGGACCTTTTGGGGCATTTTCAAAAAAACTGAGGCTCACCCTATAGTGAAGATTTGCTGTCGAGCAAGAAGCTTTTGGTGAACTTCAATTTCAAGACGACCAAAGTGCCTAAAACCTCACCTTGGGCAGGGCATTGGGCAAAAGTGAGCAAGGATGCTTTGTGCCTGTGGGTCCAGTGCTTGAATGCCAAATGGGATCGAACTTCCAAGCCGGGTAGAAGGCAACCCACCAAAGTTGAGGGTGAAACTCTCCTTGAGCAATGTTACTTGGTTTTTTTAAGGTGCAATCTAGGTACATCACAGTCAACATCATTCTGACACAACAACTCCCCCGTTCATGTGAGGTTGTTTGGCCATGGGCTTCAAGAATGACATTTGCATCATGGCCCCGAAAATGGAAGATCTTGTTGAGTCGGAGTTTCTTGGACTGTCAATCATTGACAAGTGTCGTCTTGCAGCCTCACAAAATCTCACAAATATACAATATTGGTTTGAATCTAAGGTGGATGACTCGAATCCGGGAGGCAGATCCGACTGCCTTGGCTGAGCTTTCCAATGCAGTGTCAGTGAAGGATCAGAAGTACACCGTCAGGGACAATCCAAGTTTCCAAGCTGAAAAGTTTAAAGTTGGTTTGATGACATTGATTTGCTGAAAAGTATAAAAATAGTGAAGCTGAGGTTTGAAAACGATCCTGGACAACCATGGCCAAGTCAGTGACAAGGCTGAGCCAGGAAAGCCGGTGTCAGCAATGGTTGATCTCATGGATCAGAAACAAAAACAAATTGACAAGTCCAACTTGGAACTTGTGATGAATGAGCTTTCTTTTGACTTGGAAAGTTTCAAAGTGTACCGCCAGAAAGTTGTCCAGTGCATGTCCAACCGGGCGCGTAAGATTCAAGATTGGAAAGGGCAGGTTGTTCAAGATGCTCAGCAAGCTGCAGATCACTACATGTCACTGCATGCAGCTTGCCCTAAAAATTGGCTTGGTGATGTGTCATCTGCTTGTATTCCATGTATGTTTCATGTGCTGCTTATGTTTCATTTCTATATTCTATGTCTGTGTTAACACTCCTATTCTAAGGTAACGTTGAAGACATGGGCAACTCAAGACCCTGGTGCTGCTGCCATCACCGATGTCAAGAAGGATGTGGCACAACGTGCACGTGCGCTCCAGGTTCCCGAGGATGGCAGTGTGACTTGACAAAATTTATGTTTTTGGCTTGGCACAAATGCTGTGAGTTGTTTGATATTGAGTTGTTTCAAACTTTTTCCCCTTTAAGGCGATCATCTCCCTGATGAACTTGTCAGCACCAGCTTTGGTCAGTGCAAGCCACATGCCTGCGATCATGCATGTTGTTGGGTACCTGTGCTCCGACAATGTGAAAAATTTGGCTTTGGCTCTCATGCCTGTCTACAGCTACACCCGCAACTATCTTTGGAAAGAGGAGGCCACAGTGATGGAATGGATTTCTGGAACCCAAGCTCAATGTGACAAGCAGTGGTTTCTCCAATTTCTGAAGAAATGCGTTACTTGGCAAAAAAAACATGACAGAATGCGGTTTTAGTTCTCAGGTGTGGTTTCCAGGACTGTAGGGGTGGGGTCCTGCTTTGCTTTGTGGCATCCAGGGGTCAAGTTGGATCATGTTGGATCTCATGGTTGTGATTTCAATTCAGTGTTGGGATGAAGCAAAGCAGTGAAGAAACTATTTGCTTTGATGTATCCTCAAACGGGTAAACACCATTGGGCCAAGACATGTAAAATCATTTACCAATATTGTATATCATTCGCACGATCTGGGGTTGAACATATTCATTGTGCAAATACATTTGCATGCATATATGGGGGTGAACCATTGATTTAGATGTCATATATATAGATTATGCATGTGTTTTGGATAGTGCATGTCTATCAGGAAAATATTAAGGATTTTATGTAAATACTCCTCAGTGTTTGTTGTGATTGCTTCTGGCCTAAGGACCTCCGAGATGAACGGCCACTCATCTACCCTGGACGTATCTTGGTGCCGGGTCAAGTGCAGGCACCCAAAATGTTTTGGAAAAAGTCTGCCTTGTTCACAGATGGCCGGACTCAACAGGCAATCCAATTGTCAGGGAAGGACATGCGGGTGATTGAGAGGGTGGGTGGAGGGCAATTGCCTTCGTCGACAGATGCTGATTGCACAGTCCGGGGTGCTATGAAAACTGCTCAGATCGGCCCTGATGCGGCATCCAAAATCTTCAAGTTGTTGACAGAGATTTGGCTGAAAAATATACTTGGTGAAAACAAAATGTTGAATAGTGTTTCACAGTTTGCACCTACTCTTGTGTCACATCCATTCAGGATGGCATGCAGTTCTCAGCCCAAGTTGTCCTGGAAATCATGGACTTCGTCCCAGTGGTGGGGAACAGCTTTGAGGCATTTTGCTATATTTTGTTTATATCATGTGGCACAATGACTGAGAATCATTTTTGATTGGCGCATTTGTCTCCAAAACTGTGGAATAATTTATGTGATTTGCTGGCCTGTGCAGGGCTTTCTGGACATGCAGCAGAGCTCCAACTTTCCCTGCCACCTGACTATGTTTTGGCCTGATGAGCAAACTGCCGAGTGGTTTGAGCTGACAGCTTCTGAGATTTTGTGCAACAAGTTCCGTGAGGGATGCTTGAAAGTCCCTGGCTTTGACAGGACAGGGCTGGGTCTTGGGGGGCATGTGGGCTGGCTATGTCTATGAAGTTCAACTTTTGCTGAGTCATGGGGGAAAAATGAATGGAACCAAAGTGTGTATGATGGGATCTTCTGTGCATGACTGATCTTCAATGATATGTTGTGTGAGCGAATGATTCAGGTAGTTTTTTGGCTCAACAATGCTCAAAGTGTTGACACTGCACTTCGTTTTTTTTTTGTGATGCTTTGCAAGTTGCAAGGTGAGTGGCATGCACAACAATGCATCAAAAACCAAGATGCAATACACATTGCAAGCATAATGAACTTCAGCACCAGAAAACAAAATGCAATACCTGCTATGTCTCAGCCTGCCCCACATGCCGTCTCATGGTCAGTGCGGGGATTTGCAGGTCCCCCGCAAGTGTCTCAGCCTACTGCAGCTGACCCTGAGCCCAACCGGTTGCACACTGGAAAGAGGTGGCATCCGAACCCGCAGAACCCTCATGAAGTACAACTACGCAAAAAGATTGACATGAAATGGGAAAGAGAGAAGCGTCGTAGAAAAAAACGACGGGAGGAAGCTGCAGCTGCTGCAACAGCTAAACCAGCTGCAACAGCTGAAGCAGCTGAACCAGCTGCAACAGCTGAAGCAGCTGAACCAGCTGCAACAGCTGAAGCAGCTGAACCAGCTGCAACAGCTGAAGCAGTTGCTTCTTCTTCTTCAAAGCCAGATCCAGTGCCCTTGGCGATCCAGGAACAGAAGCCGAAGATGATGGCCAAAAAAGAGAAGAAACCGAAAAAGGAAAAAAAACACAAAAAAGAGAAGGTTCGTCCTCTTATTCAAGTGAAAGAAGAACAAGAAGATGATGATGTGAAGCCTGGTGTTTCTGAAGCGTTGTGGAAACAGGGTGAGGAGTGGGCGGATGAACTGACGAAGGAGTGGTTGGCCCAACCAGCCTGTGATGAGGAGGAGAAGAAGTTCAAAGATTTCTGTCGTCGAAAAGATCTGCAGCAGGTTATGCCTGATGATCAAAGTGATCCTGCTTTGATTCTTGTCAGCATTGGAAAGAAAAGTTTACTGGGTCATCGTTGTTGTGTGCAAATTTCTCATGTATTTTTTTATGAAGGATTACTGTGTTTCAAATGTTTGTCGCTGCCATGTGAGGAACACGTCTGAACTGTCACCGGGAAGTGCTGCTACTGCTTCCAAAGGACCCTGATCTCAGCCAGTTTCAAATTGATGTGTTGCATCCACTTGTTTTCTCATGTAGCCCTTGATGTCTCAATTTTGAAATGCTCTTTTGGTATGTGACACACTGGTGAGGACGATAATTTGAAATGATTTGATGACCATCTTCTCTGATGATGCTTGGGCTTTATTATATGATATTCCTTTCATTCTCTGTGACCTGTGCACTCTGCTGTATGGGCTTTTCATGTTGTTTGTTTCGCTGTGGTCTAGAGTTTAGATGTTAAACTGAAAGAATGATTGAACCTCCTACTGAGGAATCTGGTGGGGTCTGTGGCCATGATGAAGTACCTCACATTTTGATGCGATGTGCGTGCAAAAAGTGCTGTGCGTTGTGCAATGGTGGATCTGCTTGCTGGCTGCCAGCCACAAGGTCTGGCAGCCAGCCTGCTAAGTCATCTGTGGCTGGATGCCAGCCGCAAGGTCTGGCAGCCAGCCTGCTAAGTCAGTTGTGGCTGGCTGCCAGCCGCAAGGTCTGGCAGCCAGCCTGCTAAGTCATATGTGGCTGGATGCCAGCCGCAAGGTCTGGCAGCCAGCCTGCTAAGTCAGTTGTGGCTGCCTGCCAGCCGCAAGGTCTGGCAGCCAGCCTGCTAAGTCAGTTGTGGCTGGCTGCCAGCCGCAAGGTCTGGCAGCCAGGCCAAAAGTCATTCTTGTCTTGTTTGTGGCTGGCTGCCAGCCACAAGGTCTGGCAGCCAGGCCAAAAGTCATGTTTGTTTAGTTTGTGTGTAGTTGATTGTGGTTTTTGCATGTTGTGCCCCTGCAGGAAAGCTGATGACCCGCCGGAGCAGACCATGGATCCCTTGCCAACTCTACCTGATCTGAAGCGATTGGTCTTTGTCAAGGACTGTGTGTGTGTTGATGTGCATGTATGTTTAGTGATGTTCAGTGCTTTCAGTCTACTCATATTAGTGGCAAGCACAAACAAACATTGGGTTGGCATATGATTCATAACGTTGTGTATTTATGCGCATTTATCTTGGGTGGCATGGTTGAACAAAGAATGAACAAAGATTAGGGTGTCAAAGACTATGCGTGTTTATATATCTATCTATTTCTGGGGCATGGATAAAACAAAGATTACAGTAGATTTGTGGTTTCAATTTTCATAGCCTGATTCTTGCAGGATGAAGATGGGGTCGCAGTGACGCCTGGGATCCCTGAGGCTTTGCAGCAACAGTGGTCCCACGAGCCGGCTTTCAAAAAATTCCATGAGGACTTGATCGATGCCTTTGGAACTTTGGAGCAGGCGGCTGCCAGCCCTCTCAACAAACGAGCTGCCGCTGCTTCTGGGGATGAGCGATCGGCCAGCAGGCGACGGGTTGTTGGCCCTGATGGCATCTGCAAATTGGAGGATCTCAAGGGTGAGGAAATCCACAAGGTGGGGTTGGAGTTGGATCATTTTG